CCCGCGGCCTCGGGCGGCCAGGAGGTGGACGCCTGGGCCCACACGCTCCCGCCCGACTTCAAATCTACCGGAACATTTGGGTCGCGGGCAGCACCGGCGTGGCGGCCACGCTGGATTTCGAGCTCGGGAAGTGCGTCTCTGATGAGTGTGCTCAATGGCAACGACAACGTGGAGACTGGGCTGCGCCATTGGTCGGCGTGCGTGCACGAGGCGCGGACGCACAACAAGGCGGGAGCTGCGAAGTTCAGGCTGCCACGGCCCCGGGCAGCGGGGTGGACATCGCCCCGACGTGGCTGATCAGCGAGGCGACAACCCAGAGTAAGCTGGAGCACCAGAAGTCAGAGCGTGCTGCAGCTGAAATTCGGCGTCGCGGCCCGAAGAGTGACTCCAAGGGGGGGCCCAAGGGCGGCGGGCGAGGCGACGGCGGCAAGAAGAGGGAGGGGAGCTGACGCCCCCCTCTTGCTCCCCCCTCAGAGCCGCGGAGAGGGGAGTTGCCTGGCGTTCGACCTGAGCAGCGGCAGAGGAGGGAGCATCCTGGAGGAAGATGGGTAGCCAAATGCGCGGGTCACAGTGACGAGACAATGGTACGTTCATTTTCGACGTTCCCACCGCTCTCTGAAGTTGCCGCCCCTCTTGGTGCCAACGCAGCAGTTCTGCCAGTTGCGCTATTGCCTCGACCAGGTCGAGTGCCCATGCAGTCTGGCAGGAGTGGGCAACTTTTGCATCGGAAGCATGAGGTGGGTCGGACGGCTAACAACACGCTGAGAACCCTGAGCGCCATGCACCTGGGCACCACGAAGCAGACTGCGCTGAGGCAGCAGAAGTCCAGCAACCATGCGACGGAGACATCTGCTGTCGGGCAGGCTCGGAGGCTCGCGATCGCGAGGGCCAAGGACCAGCTCTATGTTCGCCGGCTGTTCCCAGCGACAGGCGCACGGGCGACGTGCGAGCTCTTGAAGTTGGACAAGATAGGCTGCAGGATGGTGCACAAGAGGGACGCCCGCTCGGATTTCGCTGCGAGCCGAGTGGGCGAGGTGACGACGACCAAGGATGCGCCGCTCTTGGAGGCGCTTCCGCCCGAGGAGGCGGGGCGCAACAGCCGGATGAAGAATGTGATCGGCCTCGCGGGGAAGTCCCAGGTTCAGGTGGAAGGGCCGGAGAGGCAGTTCGGCCTCTTCGGATGCCGGATGGAGCAGTGGGTCGAGCACCTCCGTAGCGGGGGCACCCCGGCGAATCTGTGGACCTCCGCGAGGGGGGAGCGAGGCCAATATCATTAGTGGGGTCTCAGCTGTACTGCAGAAGGACGGTTCCGAGCTGAGGCAGCTCATTATTGGCGCGCCCATTAATTTATTGTGGAGCTTCGTTCGGCATCGGGCTGGCCGCGGGCTGGGGGGGGGGCGCTGGCTATGATGCGAGCGCCTGGGATGGAGCTGCCCAGATGTGATGAGAGCAATGCGTTTTCGTCGGTTACCTTGCCTGAGTGGATGTGACCCTGGATGGCAGCCCCAGCTATCCCCGCCATCCTGGTCTGCGGGCTGCTGAATCCTTCGCTGGGAGCCGAGCTTCAGGGGCGGGGCCTGGCGCGCCCACGCTGCGCGCGGTTGCCCGTGGCCCCGTCGGCGGGCCCATCCCTGACCGCATCTCTTTCGGCGTCGTCTCCGCCAAGCTCAGCGTCGGAAGCGCCGCCCTCGACGGCGCGGCCCGCGTCGCCAGTGGCAACCTCGAGTGGGCGACGGTCCCTGGGCGTCTGCGACCGGGGGCCAACTTCGGAGGTCCTTGCCAGAGCACTTGAGGCAAGGACATCCGGGCTCGACGCCCCTTGCCGAGAATTCTGGGACCGCTGTTTGCGACGACCTTCTTGCCCGCGATGCGCTCGCGCCAGCGCGCGCAGATGTCGCCGCCCATCCCGCGAACGGCCTCCAAGAGGCCGAAGTAGTCCACGGAGTCTAACGCACCCGCCCACCTCGATCGCGGAAAGATCGGCGGCAACCACCCATCTGGTGACCGAGCGAATGTTTTGCTGCAGCTTTCGCAGGCAATGCTGGCGATCTTGGCAGCAGCCTGCTCTGCAGTAGTGCTGGGACGCGCCGCGTGCCCGAATGTCGCCGTTCGCCGTGGTGGTGATGATGTGCCTCCGCGCTCTCTGGTATCTCGCGTCGGTCTTTTTTGTTCAAGAATGCGTTGTAAACGCGTTCTCTGTGACGATCTGCATCCGCGCCAGGGCAGGCGGGGTGCTCCTCGCACCTGCAATCCAGGTTCTGTCCCAGACATCCGCACATGATGCCCGCGTAAGACATGAAATCTCCGGGGCCTCGCAACGGCGAGCTCCACCTCGCAATGCCAGTGATCCAAGGTCGAATCGTCTTTGTCTGCTTCCCGATCACGTGCGATCTGATGGGCCAGGCATTCGAGGTGCACGCTGCCAATGGGACCAGATGGTGACCGATGTCGTAAAGCCCGCTCTGCTAAGTCAAGCGCCCCGTCGCCATCTGTCATGGAGAGCCGCTGCCGCCGTCGGAGCCGAGAAGCTGAAGGCACAAATTTAGATATGTTTTGAAACACGTTGGCGTGCACATCGGCCTCGCACCTTTCCAGGGTAAGTAGGGGCTGCAGCAGTTCGAACGTCGCAAGTAGAGCCTGAGCGCGGTCCTCACGCGTGAACGGCGCACCGCGCATGAGCTCCGCCTGATGCGCCTTAAGGGGCCAAACCCAAAACGCACCGACAAAACCATCAACAGGCAAGCAGCGCTGAAGTACAGAGCGCATGAAACAACACAGGTTGGGCCTCAACGTTTATTCGTTCATCCCTGACCTTCGTGTTGGCATTCGCTGCGACGATAGTGCCGGCACCAGTCGTGGGCGCGACTATCTCCGAACCGACGATTGCGCCCGCGACTGCGGTCCGCTGGCCCGCGCCGACTGGAAGATGTTCGACAGTCGTTGTCACGCGAAGCCGGGCGTAAGCAGTCTCACCCCCGCGATGCCGCTCGAAGAACACTGCCGGGGTGGCCCCTGGCTGGGTCCTCTGCCGACGAGCTGGCCCACGAGGAGGTCCGCATTCCCACGCTGGCACATTACTAAACAACTCGATCAGATATGTTTTGGCGCATTCATTGTTCTACTGCCGACGCCAGATGCATCGGCGTCAGCTACAATAGATGCCAGTCGGTTCTTGGCGTCTGGATCCATGAGGGCCGAAAAGAACGAAGGCGCATCAGAGGCCTCATCGACATAGAAAGCTTTGTCAACTTCAGTCTCGAGAAGGTGGCGGTCAAATGCCGATCGCCATTCGACAGCGCCAGTCGCGGTCGTCACAGCGAGGCGCTGTTTCACAAGGTCCCGAATCGCTGGAGTTGAATTTCCAGAAGTCTCAACAACGTGCCCAGGTGGACCCGTATCAAAACCAAGCTGGGATGCGACATCATTACCGTCGCGAAACTGATCTATCGCCGCCTCTGTCCACTCATCCTGCGCTGCGGCGATCGCGTCGATCGCCGCTGCTGCCCCCGCCCAGTCACCAACATCACTGGGGCTGCGCTCCTGAAGAAGACCGAGCTCTTCCAAACCTGCAGCCGACCATTCGTCCATGAGAGGCAAACGCAGTCTGGGCGGACGTGCAACCCTGAAAAATGCAAGAGGCAACCAAGGGTTGCGCCAAAGCCCAAAAGGCAGCGGAGGAGGTGGATGGAGGAAGAGGGGGAACGGCCAGTCGGTTTCCTGGACCCCGCGCGCCCCTCAAGCACTGTAGCCCCCTAGTGGATTGCACCGCGGAAGCCACGTCCACATTGGTTTCTCGCGGGAAGCCCACTGGGCTTGTGTTTTCGGGGGGCCGTGGTTTTAAGTTCTCGGGCGTCCGGGGGGTCTCAGGTGGCTGGCTGCGTGTGTGTGTGGGGATATCCTGCACTTGTAACATCGGCAAGCGCTACCCCCCCATCTCAACCGAGGTTCCACTCCAAGCAGCTTCTCCGGGCTTACAGTGCGAATCCAGATTTCTTGTCTAAGACCGACACTCCAGAACGACGCTGGGAGGAAGGAGGGCGCACATCTGAGCACGATGAACACGACGAGTAGCATGGGGGCGTGGAGCACAGGGAGAGGGCATGAAAGGAGGCAGTGCAATAGGAGGGCATAGCCACAGTGACAATACTGTCCCGGGCAACCAGTAGCTGACATGAGCAAGGCGATGGCGAGAAGCACGAGACGGAAGGAAGAGGACCGATGAGACGGAGGAGCGGGATGTATATTGCACGTTAGTGATGTAACGACAACGGTTCAGAAGGTGAGTGATAGGTTTTGGAAGGCGAGAGTGGCGAAGCGCACGTCAGAAACGCAGAAGTGGAATGCGGGGGCGTCCTTGCCGCGGCGCCCGCGTCAAGCACCCGCGCGCCTGACTATGGGCACGGCGCCAAGACGAGAACGCCGCCCCGAGGCGCGGCCAGTTGCGCGCAGTGTGCCTACGCGACAGTTTCACTTAGCGGCGACGGTGGTTTCGCGCAAAAGTGACGACTGCGTTGCGCGCGTTGGCATCACCCATATAGGATGTGTGTCTTGGCCCTTTCGCCAACGTTAGCTGCCATGCTTGCAAGGGCATGCATTTTTGCTCCCTTTTTTTCCGAAGGCTCTTTTGGAGGGCGACCACGTGGGGAACCATTTGTGCGACCTTTTATTGGGGGGGAGCACAATTTGGGGAACCATCTGTTCGACTTTTTTTGAGGGGGGGCGACCATTTGGGGAACCATTCGGGGAACCATCTGTGTCGCCATTTTCGCCGCCGACCCCCTGTGCGCGCGATGCTATTCGCAGCCTTCGGGTCCAGGGCTCGCTTCCCTCGCTAACTCCAGCGAGACGGGGGGCGATCAGAGCTCGGCCGCGCGCAGCGGGGGGTAGGGGGAGTGGGTGAGGTTTCTTAGAAACGCCTTTGCTTCTTGGAAGGCGCGGGCCTTGCTTGTCCATGTAGGGCTGGTGCCTTCTAAGATAAGAAGCCGGCTCCTTCTGAGAAGCTTCCCCCCCCCCTACCCCCTTGTGCAAACGGAGGTTAGCCAGAGCGCCGGATCTTGCAGGATCCTGCAGGGCCAGGGTTGCACTGACCTGGGTCAGCGCGCAGGATTCTGCAGGATCCTGCGGGATCTTGCAGGATCCTGCAGAGCCCGATTGTGTTCCAGACTGACCCTGGTTGGCACTGACCCAGGCCAGTGCGTCCCCGACGGAGGCGCTGTCAGGCTGTCAGCGCCTGGCGGGGCACGGCTCCAGCGAGAGGCGGTGGGCCGGGGAGGCGGGGGGCACGCCACGACATGAACATAACCATTTGGAGGTCCGCGCAGATGTCTGGACCCCCATGACCTGATGCTGAAGAACCATGACCCTGGGTTCATGAAGACTCTGCGAGAAGAATGGAGTGGCCTGGGCTGTGTGTTCCGAGCCTTGGTCTATACCAATACTGGAGTTTTGTGTTGGGCCGATATTTCAAGACCTTCCGGGTGGATGAGTTGCGTGCGTGGTAGCATTTACACGGCCTTTGTGGTATTTGCAACCTTTGGATGTCTGAACATCCTGGTATGCATGTTTGTGATGAAGAGTGAAGGCATGATTGCGGACTTGGAGAGGCTCTGGAGTTCCGAAGAGGCGATCTTGAGCTTTTCCAAGAGTTGTTCAGAGAAATCGGCTTTCACGGAACGGGCGCGAAGGACGAGAAGGATTTTGCAAATACGTGGGGCAGATCTTGCATTTCATTCAGGCGTACTCCACATGTCAACTATTCACTACACGACTCCACGCGTGTTCTTCAAGATGATGGACATGAACCGTAATGGCGAGCTCGGCATGCAAGAGCTTAGGAGGCCTGTTTGCTGTTCCAGGGCGAGGTGAAGGCACATGACGTAGTTGAGGTTTTCGTTTCTGGCGCGTGCGGTGGACTCTCGCTCTTAGGAGGGCTCGCAGCGACCTATTCTACGCGCTTTTGTCGCGGTGTGAATGGTGGGAAGCATCTAGCCACGTAGGCACCTCTCCATGGCAGGGGGTGGGTGTTTTCTATTTTTGCGTTCTGGCAGGCTCCAGCGCGCTACTGTGCACAGTGTCCTCGCAGGCGTCACGTGGTATCGCAGAACAAGAAACAAAGACGGCCCCAAGAGGCACCCAGGAGTCCCAGACATCCCTCCCCAACGGGGAGTACACGTGTCGGAAACGTCGAACTTGCTAAACTACCTGCGACCAAACGGCAGGTGGGATTCTACCGGCCAGCGTTCACAGCGTGTTTTTTTCTCAATGGCTGCGTGGCAGAACCTTCAAGTGGAAACTCTTGTTCATAACGTGCCTACGTTTTCGAGCGTTCCATTTCTGGCCAACGGCTTTGCAAAAGGCAGTCGTCATAGCTTACTCGAGCTCCAGCTTGGCCTCGTCGATTCAGAGGCACCTGCCGTGACGTGCAGTGGCTGCGTGTGCTGCGTGTGCCCGACCCCGATTCCCGGGCCATGCTCGGGGGCGACGGCGCCGTCGACGATTCAGGGTCGGTTGGTCGGTCGGTGTCGTCGTCGTCGTCGCCGTCGTCGTCGCCGTCGCCGTCGCCGTCGCCGTCGCCGTCGTCGTCGCTGTCGCCGTCGCCGTCGCCGTCGCCGTCGCCGTCGCCGTCGCCGCCGTCGCCGTCGCCGTCGCCGTCGCCGTCGGTGCCGTCGGGCTGCATGTCTCCGGGGTCTCGGCGCGAGGGCGCGAGGATATTACAACCGCGCAGCCGCGCCCCGCGGAACCGCGCACCCGCGGGGCGCTCCGCGCCCGGCCGGCCGAGGCCGCAGCGGCAGCCGAGGCCCCCGCGCCTCCAGCGAGAGCGGCGCCCTCGGCGGCGGCGGCAGCAGCGGCGCTGGAGGGCGCGGCCGCGGTTAATGCGGCGGCGAATGCCGCGGGCGGGGCGGCGGCGGCGCTACAGGGCGCGGCTGCGGTCACCGCGGCGGCGCTGGGGGGCGGGCGGGGCGGCGGCGCCCTCGTCAGCGGGCGGCCCCTCTCTGCAGAGAGAGCCTCTCTGGGACAGGGGCGGGGGGGGCGCCAGGGGGTGAGGGGGGGATGTGGGTGCGCGCGGGGGGGCGAGGGCTGGGAGTCTGCACCCCTCCTGCCCAGAGTCATTGTGATCCTGGGTGATGTGGGTGCGCGCGGGAGGGAGGGTTTGGGAGGCTGTGCGCCGCCTTCCCGAGACCCCATAGTGTCGATCATCCTGCTGCTGGTGCTGTCGCTGGTGCTGCAGCTGCTGTCTCTAATTTCTCTTGGGATGCGCTTGAAGACCCCCCGTGCTCCTTGTTGTCGTCGTTGTCGTCCCCGCCGCCGTCGTCGTCGTCGTCGTCGTCGTCGTCGTCGTCGTCGTCGTCGTCGTCGTCGTCGTCGTCGTCGTCGTCGTCCCTCTCATCCTCCCCCTGCTTCTCAGCGGGTGTGTTTCCTCCTCTTTGTCCTTTTTTGTTTTTTGTTGTTCTTTGTCTTTATTATAGTGTGTCCACTCCGCCCGCTTCTCCTCGCTCATCCTTGTCTTGCGGCTGCTGATTATTGTGAAGGTGATGGAACCCCCACCCTGCCAAGTCGATTAGGAAATTGAGATTGATCGGGTCTCGAGGGGGTGTTGCGGCCGCAATGTTTGGGGGTCTGTGCTTGCCAGGTCTTGTCGCGGGTCGTTTTCACAAAGTGGTGTTTTCTAACGAGGTTTATGCCCATCCCCGATGCTACTGTTGCTGCTCCTCTTCCTCCTCCTCCTCCTCCTCCTCCTCCTCCTCCTCCTCCTTCTCCTTCTGCTCCCCCTGTGAGCTGTGAGCTGATGGCGTGAATTTCGGCCCTCCCCCCCGCAGGGCCAGTCGGCCTTGGAGAGGTTGGCCAAACTCATGCCAGGAGACCCCTGGAGCACCGCTCCAGGGGTCGCCGGCAGATGGGGATAACAGTAAAAGTGGGGCTAGATCGACAGACAGACAAGCATAGGAGGGTGAGGTACAGCGGAGACAGGAGAGGCATCAAATATCATAAAGAAGGGGAGAGATGGATTGGGGGTGTATGGCGGCGTTGCGGACAGTTGGCTGCGGCAGAGTGTCGTTGACCCCCCCCCCGATGACGATACCCGTCCCATCCCTTCATGGTCTTGGCTGGCGGCTGCGGTGTCCCCCTCCTCCTCCTCCTCCTCCTCCTCCTCCTCCTCCTCCTCCTCCTCCTCCTCTTCCTCCATCCCCCTTTCCTTGCATACAACTCTTCCCTGTCGCATCCCCAGGCGTGTCGGTAGGGCGGGCAGGGCGAGTCGTTTTGTGACCTCCTCGCCATTTGTAATCCTCTGAAATTTGCAACAGTATCACGGATGGAAGGAGGGCTGTTTCTTCAAAATGTGGTTGTCGCCTTAGCACCGTGCGCACTGTCTTGAACAGTTGCAACATCATCAAGGATGGAGGACAGCGTCAGAACGTGGCTCTCGCCGTAGCGCCGCGCGCATTTGCTTTAAAAGTCGGCAGCGGTTTTAGGGATGGAGGGCGGCTGGTTTTTGAATGTGGCTCTCGCTCAGCGCCGTGCGCATTCGTCTTAGAGTTGGTGACAGTTTCAAATATGGAGGGCGGTTCCTTATCAACATGTGGTTATCGTTTTAGCGTTGCGTGCATTCT